AAATAGTGGCTTCCTTTTTAAAATATCTTTTTTTAGATCAAAAGTTAAAGTTTGTATAGTCTTTTAAGTGTCGCGCACTGTAGGATTTTACTGTATACATGCGACCTATTCACACAACTACCGGATAATTTTTGATAGTAAATTTTCGAATAATAAAATCAAGAACTTTCACAGTAGGCCGTAAAGTCTAATTACTTGACTGGTCTGATTATCACTAATTAGATTAATATGAGGCACCCTAATAAAAGGTGGTACTTTGAGACTGCCAAAAAATGCTATGGGATTTAAGAAACATAATAATTTTCTATACGTTAGCACACTGGGTTTTTAAGAAAATATAGTAATTTTCTGTAGCAAATTTTTTTTTTCTTAGTCTTTTAAAAAACAGTAATATTCTATAGCAACCTTTTCTTTTCTTCGGTTCGTTGACTGTATACTGTATTAATTTCAAAAGTTTCGCCAAAAAACAGTTTTGGTGCTGACCAAAAAAAAATTTCTTGCAAATTTGGTATAATGCACTATTTCTATCACTAATCCAACAATTGAAAAAGAATCCTGTAATTTTGTCCGACAACTTTAAATTTTTAGCCAATCAGAATTATTGACAATTAGCCAATAAAAACGAATTCTCACTGATATCTGATTTCTTCCATCTCTCAAATGGGTTTTACGAAAAAATATATAAATGGGTGTTTCGCTTATAGCAATTCTTCTAGTAATACGTACTAGTCGTGGTTCCAATCTAGTTTTTCACTATCCAAAGGAACCAAAACGACGTGATGAACTTGAACGGATAGCTCGGAAAAGCGAGGACCTTGATGAATTCGGAGATTTACTCGAAGACGGCGCAATAACTTGGCCTTATGGGATTGCGGACGACGCCGACAAGCGATCTTTAAAGTCTTTTAGATCACGATTTGAGGATGATAATGATGAATATGATATCATTATCGATAATAATTCTGGAAGTAATGCTATTGAACATAATGCGATTCATAACAAGTTGTTTGGACTTGAAACTTCTGTATTGGCAATTGCTTTATGCCCAAACCCTAAAGGTTCCTCAAAATTCCAATTATCCATTGATGATCTAACATTTGTTGGACAGCCTGTATTTATGAATAGAGCAGATGAAGGCAACCAAAGTGAGGTCCCACTTTCAAAAGACAAGGAAATAACTAAAAGAAGTGGAGATAGTGAAAATTCAACTGATATAGATGATGATGATGATCTTCGAAAACATTTATTAAGACTCTCAGCTTCTGAAGAGCCTTCATTTGATGATGTGACAACTCAAACACCTTTTAACGTTACATTGGGTAATAATGATATTTCTTCGACCAGTACGAAGCAACAACATTCAACATTTTTCCATCTTGTATTTGTACTTGATCCACCTGAATTGGAACTATGTAAACAAGTAGATAGTATACATAAACACGTTATTGCTAAATTGACGACTGCATTGCAGTATGAGCAACGGAGATGTGGGTACGTTAGAAAAGAGTCTGAATTGATAATGTCATTGAGAGACAACACTGGTAACATATTGTTTATTATTATCAAAGTATAAAGATTTCATTAGTAGCTTCAACTTCAATTTTATAATTATATAAAATTAGATATTGCTTCCATGGATAAATTAATGGAAATTATATTGGAGAAAAGTTCATTAGCCCGAACCATTCGACAAGTGTATGAATCCATCTCTACGGATAGTATAGCTCACGTTTTAGTCAACGATTATATTGACCTGTCACTACAGATTCCTCCCCTTGCACCTACTACGCTATTCGCTCCTGATAATGATACGGAAGGAAACGAATACACTCACTATCCTGTAATTGCACCTTACCATGCTTTACTACTTCTGGAAGATCCAGAAGAGATTCTTAGAAGCATGCCATTAGATTCGAATCCAACATTGGTGCAATTGGTACAGATATTAACACCTACACAACGGTATAATATTTTAGATAACTGAATGAATCTTAAATTATATGAAATGAAAGAACTAAAAAATGGTGTATTTTTTTTCATTGTTCTTTAGATTGGCAGATTTATGTACCGTAGTGGACTGCTCTTTAGCACAAATATTTCGAATTGCAGCACATTTGATCTATTGGAGAAAGGCAAAAATCATTGATGTGATTAGCGTACGCAACATATATGTAGTGTCACCTACCGCTGACATGAACTCGTAAGTCTTGGCTAATTACTTTTTATTGAAACGAAAACTATAGACATTAATTTTGGTGATTTCATAATAATCAAGGTTACCAACTTATATTGAATATTTTAAGCAACATTTCCCACCAGACTTTGACCTTGTAAAAATTCTTGCTTCACTTTCCACACCTAAACCATATTTTAAGAATCCACTTGTATCTAGAGAATTGCGTACATTGTATCTTGAGGCCATAACATATCTATTAAAAAATGACCTTGTGGTACAATTGCATGCATATATATTGCTCATGATACCACAATACATAAAATTGGGATTTACGAAAGAAGAACATGAAGAAAAAATGAAAAGCACAAATGAGAATGGAGATTATGAGGGCAATGGCGTGTCACACAACGCAATGGATGAAAAAGCGCTAATATCCCCTTATGATAAAGCTTCAGACAGTGAAAGAGAATGGTTGAATAAATTGGTGAATGATCAACCCAGAGAGACAGTTACAATGTTTGAAAGGTATAACAAATAATAATTTTATTTACGGTTAATTCATTCACTTATTTACTAACTACAATTACATTTTATAAAGGTTAACTAAATATTTTAATGGTAAGCATCATGTAGAAGAAATTCTTTTTCGAGAAACAATAAAGCCAAGAGATCTTGGCAAAATTTTAAGTTTGTTTAGTCGAGATGAATTAATAATCGTTTGGTGTTAATTTTTGTCTGAAATGATCCTATTATATATGCATATATGTATCATTATAGTCCATTTTTAGATTTAATTTTTTTTTTTTATGTAAAATAAAATGTGTAAATATACACTTCATATTACAGTATTACAAAAACGAATTATTAGCTTAGGTGGTCTGTAATAATATGAATATATGTTTTAAATACAGTAGTATAACATTTATTTATTTTTAGGATCTGATTTTTCGGATTTATCCAAATTTTCGGTGGCATGCAATGATGCATTGTTCTCACAATACTTTTTTTGAGAACTATCACTGCTCAACAAGATTGCGTCAACTTTAGCATTAAAATTATCAAGTCTTCCATCAAGTTCATTAAGCGCATCTTCTGCCTTAGTTATATCGTTAAGTAATTGATCAAAATTAAAATCTTCTATGTTGTCTTCTACCAAGTATTCATTAGGACGGGTATCAGTTGATGGAGTCGTGGAGATGGGCATTTTTTGAAAAAGGTTATGAAAGTTAAAAAATTTTAAATGAAAAAAATTCGTATATAAGGGTATTAAGGTGAATTGGCCAATTAGATTTAGTCTTGAAACATAGTTACATGTTAATCCAACCTAATATGTAATCAGCTTAATAATTGATATTCTATGTAACAAACGCCATACATTAAGTAAATATTACATATAAGAATGTTTATATAATTAAATTTATTTAATATTTAATATTTATACAGATAAAAGTAATAGCAAGTGTTATAAAAATTAGTAAATACTATTGAAGTTCTCAAAAGCTGATATTTATGATGGATAAATTTGTATTAGTATTGAGAGATTATTGGATTTTAAAAGATTGCAAACTATTTATTTTATATAACAAAAGTAAAATTAGTAGATTAATTTTTTATTAAGCTATAACATGTCAAAAAATTTACTGTAATTAATTTTTATTATTTGTCAAATAGATAAATATAAATATTACAAATAGTTTATAATATGCTTAAATTTTAAAATTAACATATACTAGGAACTGGAAGCCAGTAAAAGTCCAGAGCATAAAAGTGCATATAGCTGTATAGTACTTTGTAAAAGGAAGCAGTACAAATCGAAATAT